CAGGGAAGGAATTCTACAGGAAAAGGGCTTAATTTAGAAACTTGAGGGGAAGAGACTTGGCTGGTGGGAACCAAACTTCCACGTTAACAGGCACAAAGAATTAACACTAAAATGGTTGGACAGGGGAAAAAAAGTCAGTCAGTAAACAGGGAAAAAAATACTCGTATAGTGCACTTATGAAAAACAACATTGGGGGTTGTGTGGCATTTAGAAACACACCATGCCCACTATGTGTGAAAAAACATTAGATGTTTTATAATGTCCTTCTAGGCCTCTGAGTTGATTAATCACAGATTTTTTTTTTACATTCTGACTTTATTTGTAAATAAAAGAAAATGAAAAAACAAAAACAACCCCAATAAAAAACACACCTCAACCAAAGTTTGTAGGATTAGCAAGGTTAAAGCTAAAATACAACTGGGTTAACACTAGGTGTACACCACGCTGGCTGCAAACGAGAGTCCCCTGGGGCACTTAAATACTACATCAAAGCCTGTACTCTGACTCACTCGACTGATGTTGCGTCTCTGGAGCAGCACCTGGGAAGCTAGAGTTTTTAAAAGCTCCCCAAAGTGATTCTGATACACAGAGAGGGTTAAGATCAACCTTGCTAAAATAGAAGATCATAGATTTCAGGCAAGAAAAGCAAAAGAGAAAACATTTTCTCCCCCATCTTGCCAGGCAACCAAAACAGCATTCACATAGATAGCAATGGATGAGAGGAAGGTTATTAAGTTATAAGCATAAATTCTTCACATTTGACTTTTATGATTTAGATCTAAAAACCACCTGGAAAAAAAGAGCCAAGAAGACAATAGTGAATTCCTAAAATAAGAACTCTAAAATGAATCAAAAGACTAATTGCTTTGGGGACAGCTGCTGTCAGGGACCTCTCAGAAGTGCTGAAGAGCAACAATGTCAGTCTGGAGACTAAGGTGTGCCTGATTCAGGCCATGGTCTTCTCAATTACTTGCTATGCATCAGAGAGCTGGACAATGTATAAGGATGCCAGAAGAAGAACTGACACATTTGAATTTTGGTGCTGGAGAAGAGTACTGAACATATCATGGGCTGTCAAGAGCACAAACAGGTTTATCCTGGAGAGGGTGAAACCAAGCTGGTCCTTGGAGGCAAAGATTTTGAAGCTTCATCTCACATACTTGGGCCACATGGCCAGGAGGGACCAGTCCCTGGAAAAGGACATCATTCTTGGAAGGGTAGAGGGACTGCTCATGAGAGGAAGACCCAAGATGAGATGGACTGACACAGTAACTAGGAGAATGAGGGTAGACGTGTTGGAGATGGTGAGATTGGCTCAAGATAGAGCTAAATTCAGAGCTGTTGTACACAGGGCTGCTATGAGTCGCAGGAAACTCAATGGCACATAACAACAACATGGGTGAATTACTGAATGATACAGGAAGCATGAAAAGGAATATACAGAGATATGCACCAAAAATAATTAACCAGTGTTTCACCCTTTCAGGAGGTTACATATAATTAAGAACCACTGGTGGCTTAGTGGTAAGAAGTTGTGCTGCAATCCCAAAACCACCTGGTTCGAATCCACCAGCTGCTCTGTAAGAGATGGATCAACAACCTCCTTCTGTGCAATTCAGTGTCTCTGAATACCTGCTGGTGGGTCAAGTACTGGTTGGTTCTGACTCAATGGCACACAACAACAAATACTGAAAGAAGAAGTCCAAACAGCACTGAAAGCATTGGTACAAATTATGGGAATATAAACTGAAATGCTTCAACAAACAAATGTGGCCCTGAATAGGCTCATTCTTCTATGCCAAAAAAATTCAACAATAGCTGCCTGGCCAACCAAGTGAAAGAGATTTATATTTGTGCCCATTCTAAAAAAAGGTGATCCAATAGAATACGAAACCACTGAACAGTATTTGAAATATCTTGTTGAAGAGAATTCAAAATAGTGCAGTACATCAACAGGGAACTGCCAGATATTCAATCTGGATTCAGAAGAGGCTGTGGAATGAAGCATATCACTGTTGATGTCAGACAGATCTAGGCTAAATACACAAGCAAAAGATGTTTATTTGTGTTTAATGACTATGCAAAGGCATTTGACTGAATAGTGGTGACTAAATTGTGGTTAACATTGTGAAGAATGAGAATGCTGAACCATTAATTATGTTCATGCAGAACTGGAACACAGATCCATATAAGAGCAGTCACTCAAACAGATCGGGGTATAGCGCTTTTTAAAAACTAGGAAAGGTGTGTGTCAAGTTTGTATCATTTTCACCATACTTATTCAATCTGTATGCTTAGCAAAATAATTTGAGAAGCTGGACTATATAAAGAAAAATGTGGCATCAGCATTTGAGGAAGACTCATCAATAACCTGTGATTTGCACATGATACAATCTTGCTTGAAGAAAACAAAGTCCTAAACCACTTATTAATGAAGTTCAAAGTTGAAAGCCTTCAGGACGGATTATACTTCAACATCAAGAAAATAAAAAGCCTCATAATGGCTCATTAAGCAACATTATGGGAAATGGGTAAAAGTTGTCAAAGATTTCATTTTACTTGGATCTGCAATCAACATGAATGGAAGCTTCAGTCAAGCAATCAAACACATTACAACAGGCAAATTTGCTGCTAAGGACCTCTTTAAAGTGCTAACGAGCAAGACTTTAAAAGACTAAGGTGCATCTGACCGAAGCCATGATAGTTTCCATTGTTTCATATGTATTCAAAAGTTAGATAATAAGGAAGATGGAAGAACTGATGCCCTTGAGTTGTGGTGTTGGAGACAAACACTGAATCTATTACAGACTGTGAAAAGAACAAACAAATCTGTCTCAGAAGACAAACCACCAAAAATAAGAATAATGAGACATCATCTCACATTCTTTGGGCATATTATCTTAAATGGCCAGCCAGCAAAGGAGAAGGAAGACCCTCAAAGAGATAGACTGATACAGTGACTGCAATGATGGCTTTGAAGCACATAAGAGATTGTGAAGATGGCACAGACTTGAAGAAAATATTCATAGGGTCTCCACAAACTCGAGAGCACTCCAACTAGTGATGATAACTAACGACAACAACAAATTAAGACAAGTTTAAATATTAAGTTGTCCATCTAATGCTCTTAATAGAATAAGATCTATTCAGCAAGAGAAGATTACTTATAGGGTTAAAGTTAGCATTCAGAAAGAGATAAACCATTAGGGAACAGGCAGCTGCTGTGAAATGGAACTGTAAGAACCACCATGCCTTGAAACCTTTCCAGTAGCCAGCCACGGTGACCTACTCTTTTCTTAAGGCCTTTAAGGATTCACTGCTAGATAATGAAGTTCAAAGGTGAAGAGGCAATTATAAAAGCCACTAGTGAAGATGATAGTAAACATTTACTAGCAGGCTGTTTTAAATATTTTACAGATATAATCCCACTGGATTCTCATAACAATTCTCTGAGGTATTATTATCATCATTTTATGGTTAAGGAAACCAAGACACACAGAGGTTACAAGCCCTGTTCAAACTCATATAGCCAGGAATGAAAAGAGATCTAAACTCAGAAAGTTTATTTCAGTGCCTGAGCTCTTAAGTAGTAAACCCTATTGCCTGTCACTCTGCCACTTTGTGAGTGTGTGTGTGTGTGTGTGTGCGCGTGCGCACGCGACTGACTGAATGTAAGACAGAGATACAACCAGTGAGAGGGAAGGGGAAGCAGAGAATAGCAGCAGGCAGTGGGCTTGGGAGGACAGACTGAAGGAAGGGAATCTGTGATACAGGAAAAGAGAGACTATGGTATTTCTTGGTTTTAACATAGACTGTAATGTATGCAACACAGCTTTTAGAAATAGATTATTAAACAAATCAAGCAAAGGATAAAAGGAAAACACTAGATAGTAAATGAACATAAACCCTAGGGGTAGGAAGGAATAAGGTGCAGGAACTAGCTCTAGTGGACTTTTATTTATCCAGTAATATTCAGAGAGAAATAAACAGCTTTACCTGAGGAGCAGAGGCTTTTCAGTTAGTTAGGAAAGTATGTTCTCTCTAGCAGAAGATGGAGTACCTGGACAGGAAGGACGCAGCTGCTGAAGATAAAGAGCTAAAACAGCTTTTAGGTTTCTAAGCAAGACAGAGCAGAGGGATTGCAAGTTCTCTACAGGTTCAACCAAATTCATTCAAAGCAGTCACCCAAACTTTCCAGTATTCCCCAAGCCTAATTCAAGGCACATGCTTCAACACTGGCTTTTTTCTTATCTAACTATCTTCTCTGAGTGGAACCGACAGGAGTCCCAACAGATCGTATACTGATGTCACTGTTATTAAATCATGAAATGAGCATGCAATGGATAGGAGAGGAGCTAAAATTAAGGGGTCCTGATGATCCATACCCTAGACAATAAGTCTGGCAGTAAATGAAGGGTTGGCTCCAATCTGGGATAAAAATAAAGTTGTAATGGAAAAAAAAAGGGGCACATGTCAGGATGACCTTATCACTTCTTGTTTTTACTATGTGTTGTTAAATAACAAACATAACGAGTCAGCAGGTGTATCATTACAGGGACCAAATATAGCCTTTTTAACATGTCAACCAAACATAAAAGCAAGATACCCCTGATTTATAAATGGATATCTTGTGCTCATTAAGGGTTTGTGCAAGCAGACTGAACCTGTCATTGGGATCTGAAGCTTCTCATGACTTGTGCTCAGATCTCAGAACTGCTGGGACGAGATTAACATAATAAGGGACTCTTTGCAAAATGATGACATCTGAAAGATTTAAAGTGTTTTCCAGCTTATGAGGAACTCTGCCTACTCATAAAAGTAAATTAAAGCCTATTTCTTGGCATGGCAAGCTATTCAGCAACAGGGAAGACCACATAAGGCATATCTGGACTATGAAAATAGCAAAAAGCCATTCCTACAGATAGGTAAAATGTAGTGTGTTGTCATGGACAACTGGAATGCAGATAAGAAACAAGAGGCCAAAACTTTTCAAAGGATACGGTCTGTACCAGGAAACAAGGTTCTTCCAGTCAACAGCTCGGCCATTATGCATCCCACTGACCAGATATCAACTGGCAAAATGAAAGAGAAGTAAAAGTACATACAATGTCACTATTATTATTTTTATTATACTTAACCATAAATGGACCCATATTTAATAGTTAATATTTAAGGCATTTGAAGTTCCATAATAATATTCTCTACTTGTCCAGAAATAAACTAGCTTATTAAGACCTTCTTCATGCCATTAAAGATCTTCAAGGATAGAGTAACTAAAAATATAGTTAAATCCAAAGAAAGAAATTATTTCCAGAGGGGAAACAGTTTCTTACAGGTAAGAGGTAGATTTTCCCATGGAATATCGAGGGGCCAAGATTTTGAACAACCACCTCATAATTTTCTTTGTGTAAAAAGTATTCAGTGAATATGCTTAAAATCTGAATAAATGAAAACTGAAGTGCTAAATAAAAGTCTAAAAACTATGTTAAAGCCCCACTTCTATTAGAGCAAAGAAAATATTTATTTGTAAGTCTTAAAAAAAATCACTGAAGGAAGAAAAGATGTTCTTCCCACCTGCTCCATCTCCACTCCAGAGAATAGCAAATACACTCAACATGGCATTTATTCATAAGGCAATGAAGGCAAGCAATACCTGTCTGGTTGTAATGCATCCAGTTCAGCATGATCTCGGGAGCCCTGTACCACCTAGTGGCCACATAGCCTGTCATTTCATCATCTGTATGGCGAGCCAGTCCGAAGTCCAGGATCTAAGAGGGAAAAGAGGAATTAGACATTTGCGTAAGCAAATTGCTGAGACTTGTAAGACAGGTGGGAAAAGAACTCTAGGTCCTTCTGAAAAAGGATGACAATAAAGCACTTCCATACCCAGATTCCCTGGTTCTTATTGGGAATGCACAGTAATTAGGCAGTATGAAGTTTGAAAAAGAAAATCACAAAAAGCAAAATAAGAAATACGAATCGTAGGTATTTGCCCAAGAGAAAGGAAAACATAGGTCCCTACAATGTCGATACATGACTATTCACAGTTAATTTACAAATTGAAAACAGCTCAAATGTCTATCAGTAGGTGAATGAGTGGACAGGCAGTGGCATGTTCATAAAATGAAATATTACTCAGCAATAAAAAGGAGTAAAATATGATGCATACAATAATACAAGAAACTAAAAAACATTAGGTAGCTCTGGTGGCTTAGCAGCAAGAAGCTGCACTGCAATCCCAGAGGTACGTGGTTCAAATCCACCAGATGCTCTTCTGGAGAAGGAGGGGCAATCTCCTCCTGTACCAGTCAGATCTGATTTAATGGCAAACACACACACACACACACACACACAATTTAAAAAAACACAAAAAACTAAACCCCATTATGCTAGGCAAAGGTCATATGCAACAAATACACCTAAATAATTCCATTTATATGAAACTCAAGGAAAGACATAAATCATCTATAGCGTCAAAATGAAAACCTTTCGTTGCCTAAAACCAGGATTAGGAGTAAGGGAGCATGTTAGCTGATACGTGGATATATTAATTTGTCAAAATGTTTGAAATGGTGCATTCTATTACCTGCAAATATTTCTAAGAAGTTGAGCAAAACCCAAAACATTATTTTCTGAGCCATTTGCTTTTTACAGAGAAAAAATTCACTTACCTTTTATATGAATTATTTTAATTTCTACATTTTTTTCCTCTTAGACCTGTCTAATCTACTAATTATCTCTTTGGGATTCTTTAATAGTAATTATTGTATTAAATTTCTAATTTAACTTTAAATGAAAATAGATCACTTATTCTTATTTTCAATGTATCTTAGACAGCTCACTAAATTGCTTGTTCTAAATTTAAAGGTCTGATATTCACAAGGATAGTATTATTTTGCCCCCCTCTAAATTTAGTTCAGAATATTCACAGCAAAGCATAACATTGAATCAACAGTTCCAATTTGTACCATTAGTGGCATTGATTATACATTCTTTTAGCTGTGCAATCATTCTAACCCCAATCTTTGATGTTTTTCCTTCCTTATTAACATAAATTCACTGCCCTTCTAAAGTGTCTATCTAATCTTTTGAGTTGTTGTCAATTTGACCTCATATGAACAGTTCTTAAACTATTCATTTCAATATGATGTTAAAGGACATTTTTGTTTTAAGGTTTAAAGATTACTCAGGGTGACAGTTTATCTACAAGGGGGTTAATCTACCTACGAAGGTTCCAGAAAGGTGGCGCCATAAGAATTTGAAATTTTGTTCTGCTATCCTGCCCCCTTTCATCAGGAATTAGTTCATGATATCTTTCATCAAAATGATCAGTTGGTTGTGAGGTATCATCCCAACTCTTCTTGTCTCATTGCAATGAAAGTAAATGCTCATGGAAGCAATTAACCACACACTGCATATTCTCCTCCTATGCCTGATTCTCTTCTTCCTCTGTTGTTAGAAGTGAATAGAGACCAATTGTGTGCCATGAATGGCATTTTGCAAGTCTTTAAAAGTCCAGACACTATGTACTGAACTGGGAGTTACAATAGAAGCATTAAGCATATTAATTGGGTGAATAACTAGGGTGCCTTATGAAACTAATCTTCCAAGAAACCAAATTCCATAGGTGTTTTGCTAAGTTTTAGCAGCCACTCTTTTGAGTCACTGTTGTATACGTCCCTTTTCCTCACGTCCTTGGTAATCATGAATAGATTTTGGTCTCCATATATTTGCTTTTCTATTTTTATGTAGGTGAGGCCATGCAGCGTCTGTCCATTTCATTCTGTAAATGTATTCCCTTTCCATCCATATCGCAGCATTTATGTAGACTTCATTTCTCCTACTTGCAGAGTAGTATTCCATTGTATGTATACGCCATATTTATCCATTCATCTGCTCATGGGCATTGAGATGATTTCTACTTTTGAGCCACTGTGAATAACACTGCAGTGAACACATCTCTATCTGAATCTCTGCTTTTAATCTTTGGATACATATGTAGGAGTAGAATTTCTGGGTCATTTGCTAGTTCTATTTTTAGCTTTTTGAGACATGGTCACATTGTTTCCCACAATAGTTGTATCATTTTGCATTCTTACCAGGAATGGATAAAGGTTTCGATATCCTCTCCATTTGTTATTTGCTATTTTGTTTTTAATCTCAGCCATCCTATTGTGGTTTTGGTTTGCACCTCTTTTGGTAATGGGTAAAGATGCCAAACATGTTTTGTGGGCATCTGAATGTCCTCTTTGGTGATATGTCTATTCAAACCATTTGACGATACTATGTTAGTTATTTCTATTTTTGTTGTTAAAGTTTTACATACATTGAAAGTCAGGTCTGTAAGTATGGTCTCTGCTTGTCTGCACACCTGGGTCCTTAATCCATTTTAATTTTGTGTGGGTTTTTTTGTTTTTGCTTTTTGGGATGTGTGTGTATGGAGGGTGGCTGGTTATGATGTAAGGCACAGATCCTGTTTCAATATTTTTCTATATATGAAAATCCAATTTTCTCAGCATCATTTATCAAAGAGATACTTGTTTCCACATTAAATGAACTCAGCACAATATTCTCAAAAATGGGATTTTTCAAAATAGGTTTGTTTCTTCCATCAGTCTATGAGTCTATTGTTAGGCCGGTACCAGGCTGTTTTGCTTACTATAATTGTTTTAAAATCAGGAAGTGTGATTCTTACACTTTGTTCTCTTTCAGCAATGTTTAATCTATTCAGGCCTTTGTGCCTTCTACATAAAGTTGAGGATTAAATGTTCTATTTCTCTAAAGAGGCTGTTAGAATTCTGACTGAAATTTCACTGAATGTATAAATTGCTTTTGGGAGTACTGACATCTTAACAATCCTATCTTCCAATCCAGGAAGGAGTATATTTCTATTTATTTAACTCTTTAATTTCTTTCAGCAGTGTTTCATAGCCCTTACTGTATGTCCTTCCTGGACCTGGTTAGATTTATTCCTAGCTCTTTCATTCTCCCACCAGGGAGCTCTGGTGGTCCAGTGGCAAGGAGCTGCAGTGCCAACCCAAAGGCAGGTGGTTCTAATTCACTAGCTGCTCTACAAGACAAAGATGGACAATCTCTTCCTGTGCGATTCTACTGCCTGCTGGAGGGTCAGCTAAGAGTCAGTTCCAACTGAACAGCACATAAAAACAATACAATAATAATTTTATTTTTAGATGATTATTGTAAGTTGATTTGTTTCTAATTTTCTTTTCTGATTTCTCATTAAAGATAGTATAGAAATCAGAATTACTTTTGTTGAATTGGTACTATGAAAAGTTGCTAAATTTCTGTTAGCTCTAGAAGTTTTCTTATGGACTATTGGAATTTAAAATATAGGTTCACCTATGAAAAGAGTAATTTTTCTTCTTTTCCTCTGGTCTTATAGCATTTGCTAGGTTTCTAATAAAATAATGAATAGAAATGGTGAGATTTCGCACTCTTGTCTTGTTCTTGATTTTAAGAGGAAAGCTCTCAGTGTTAGTTTTTCATATATGCCTTGAATCATAGTGAGGAATTTCTCTTCTATTCTAATGTTCTCTGGAGGTTTTATCAAGAAATGGTATTGTTTTTTTTAATTGCTTTCCCTGCACCTAAGGAGATGATCATATGGTTCTTTTCGTCTGTTCTATTGAAAAGGTATGTCACATTTGTTTAATGTCGAACCATGCATTCCAACATTTCTGGAATAAATTCCACTTAGTCATGATGTATGACTTTAAATATGCTGTGGAATTTTGGTCACTAGTATTTTGTTGAATATTTTTCCAGGTATGTTCATAAGAGCAATTGGTCTGTAGTTTCCTTTTGGTGTCTTTTATCATGATTACGTTTATTTCATAGACTAAATTAGGGAGTTTCATTCTTTATTTTTCAGGAGAATTTAAACTGTACAAGTGTTAATTCTTCTCTAAAAGCTTGGTAGAATTCCCTAGCAAAGCCATGTGGGCCAAGATATCTTTTTTCTTAAGGGAATTTTTTAAAAAATGTTTTTAATCTGTATGTCAATTCAACAGTATACAGAGCAAAAGAGTCTGGGCTTTTTTTTTTAAATAATTTTAATGAACATTTACAGAGAATTTGGATTTCCATTCATTGCTGCAGGGAAATTTTTGATTACTGATTTCATCTCTTCACTTGGTATGAGTCTGTTGAAATTTTCTGTTTCCTCTGGAGATAGTCTGATTAAGTTCCATGCGTCTAAGCATTTGCCTATTTCATCTGGATTATCCAGTTTGCTGCTATGCAGTTATTCATAATATTCTGTCATAATCTAACTTTTTATTTTATGGATTCTCTGTTTTTTTCTATTTTATGTTTTATTTATGTTCTTCACTCTTCTGATAGGTTTAGGCTTAGTTTGCAGACAATAAAAAGATATGTCTTTATAAACTCACTCCTTATATAAGTTTTTCCAAATGGTCAAACATTTAGCCTCAAATCTGTATTGTCATGATTTGAGCTCTCTACTCTATTTTCTGGTTGATAACTTCAGCTTGCTCGGTTCCACATTGAACACTCTTGGCACCAGCAGTCAGGAAATCAAAAGACAAATTGCACTGGGAAAGTTGCTGTCAGGTACTTTTCCAGAGTACTGAAGAGCAACAATATCAGTCTGGAGACTAAGTTGTGCCTGCTCCAGGCCATGGTCTTCACAATTACTTGCTATGCATCTGATAGCCGGACAATAACTAAGGATGATAGAAGAAGGATCAGTGCCTTTGAGTTATGGTGCTGCAGATGAATGTTGAACATACCGTGGACTGCCAGGAGAACAAACAGGTCTGTCCTCGAGAGGGTGAAACCTAGCTGTTCCCTGGAGGCAAGAGTGTTGAAGCTCTGTCTCATATACTTTGAGTACATGGCCAGGAGGGACCAGTCCTTGGAAAAGGATATCATGCTTGGAAGGGTGGAGCGATAGTGCAGGAGAGGTAAACCCAGGATGACATGGATTGACTCAGTGACTGGAAGAAATGAGATAGGTCTGTTGGAGATGATGAGATAAGCTCAGGATAAGGTAGGTTTCAGAGCTAATGTAAGTACAGAGTTGCACGTGACTTGATGGCGCATAACAACAATAAAAATATCCTGAAAGTTCAGTAAGCAGACAATTCACCTTGTTTCTTATCTTACCTTCAGCTCACAGTCTTCATTTACAGCTAGATTACTAGGCTTTAGGTCCTATGAGGCAAGTATAGAGAGGACAGGATCAGCTGTATGATGTACTGTAGATTCTCTTCCTACAAGTAGTAGTGAGAATCCACATGGTGTCTACCTTCCATGCTCACTAGACCTTATTGTATAAAGTTAAGACTTCATCGAACTATAAACATAAAAACTCCACCTTAAAATCAGGCACTAGCTTTAATTAGATACATCTTCATTGTTAATCAACTTAAATGTAAAGTTGCAATAAGCCAAAATGTCAGTTCCCTGCGAGCTCTGGTGGTGCAGTCTACAGGGAATTGTGCTGTCAACCCAAGGCCATACCTCTCTGGCAGTTCGAATCTACCAGTGGCTCTGGGGAGAGAGACAGGCAATGTACAGCGTTGGAAACCACTAGAGTATCAGTTATGAGTCCAACCTGATGCCATAAGTTTGAGTTTGCTGTTTATATTTAGATTAATATATTTTTAAAATGTTGTTCTTCTAACACAACTCCCCCAAATAATTTAATCAAAATCACAATACATACATACCCTATGGATTATGTCGGCTGAATGGATATACTGTGAAAAAGAAAATAGTAAAAACCAGTTATCACTAATCTCCTAGTGTCATATAACATAACTACAGCACAGCTCCGTGAATTAATAAGAACTGACCATGTTAATAGGATTAGAAAAGAAAACAATTTAATTATTAGCATTCTTAACACTTACTATTTATCAAAACTGATTTCCGGTCATTTGAGCTCTCGAATGCATTTTCTGGTTGGCACTCTGGAGCTCAATAGAGATTCAGAATTGCTAAGTGCTTGTGGCAGAAGGATGTGGAATCTCCTCCTGTCCAATTAACTGCCTCTGAAAACCCATCAGAGGGTCAGGGTGGGTTGGTTTTGACTTGACGGTATGCAACAACAATAAAGATGGTTTACTTTTAAAAACACTGCATCTGTTCGCCCCACAAATAAATTAGCTTCCATGAGGATTTTTTAAAATCTAAACAATATATCATCTACATATTGAATCACACTAGGAAATTAATACTTTTTTAGATGTAATAAGGATATTTGTCTCTCTTTTTTAAATTAATGTTAATGAAGGTGTACAGAAACTTTGGTAATTTAAGGGTTAGGGAAGACACAAAAACAATACTGGTCATGTGTTAATTCTAATTGCTAAATGAAAAGGCTTGCATACTATGTTCTCTATTTGAGATTTTGTGCTTGAAATTTTCTGCAAGAATAAAAAATTAGGCCCTAAAGGGATGGGAGAAAAGTAAAAGTAAAATTCACTCCTAAAAATTATTACTGACACTGTCTGTACCTTTAGACCTCGGAGAATTTGGTAGATAAGGAACTGTACATGGTCATCTGTAAGCTTCTGACATTTCACAATGTTGTTCAGATCTGCCCCCATGAGATGTGTCACCAGATACCTAGAAGTTAATAGAGAATTACACAATTACACAATAATACAGAACCTTTAAGAAAAGCTGTCACTTTTCTAAAAAAGATTTTAAAAGTTTTTAAAGAAAGATCACCTAGTAAATATATTATCAGTTAAAAGCTTAATAATGACTTCTAGTGGACTCATTACTAGCACTATTATAACTACCTCCTGTCATCTGTTTTTAAAAAAATTTTATACTTGCTCCTTCTTTACATATCTTTTCTTGGGTTTTCTAAAGAAAAAGACTAAAGGTAAAGATAAGAAAATTGCAGGTGCTATCTGATAGCCTGGCCTGTGTACATGGAGTTGCATTGCGAACGCAAAGGGGGAGTCTCTGTCAGTTTGAATCCACCAGTGACTTCTTGGGAGAAAGATGTGTAATCTCCTCCTGTGCAATTTACTTCTAAGCCTGCTGGAAGATTAGCTAAGAGTATCTGTTTTCTTTAAAATGTCACTATTTCAAGAGAAATATATAGTGTAACTAAGCATATGGCCATAACAAAAAGCATTTTCTACATTTTCATCTCAAAAATAAATCTTTAGACTTTATAGGAGTATCTTTAAATATTCAAACTAAAACTCTCATACCCTCGAAATTATTGAAAAAATTATTAAAAAGATATCATTAAATTATTTAAAAGATATTTGAAATTATTAAAAAAAGATACTAGAAATTATTAAAAAGATATTTGAAATGAGGCTCGAGGGGGAACAAAACATTTAAAAAAAGAAAGTTTTCTGCAAAGTATATAAACAGATTATATAGATATTATATACATATTAAGGAGCTCTGGTGGTCTAGTGGGTAAAGGAATTGTGTTGCCAATCCAAAGACACATGGTTCAAATCCACCATCTGCTCCATGAGAGAAAGATGGGCAATCTCCTCCTGTGAGATTTACTGCCTCTGAAAATCTGCAGGGTTTACTATTAGTTGGTTCTGACTTGAAGGTACACAACAACATAATAACATACATATATTTAAAAAATAAAGATGAGAATACCCACACCTTCCTAGTATTTTCATTTCTATTGTTTAGCTATAAATTGAGGGGATGGGAGAGATGGGAAAGAAAAAAAAATAATAAAGTGAAAAAAACTTAAAAATAATAAACAAAGAACACTAGAAATAGGGTCTTCAATATACCCCCTGGCTTACAAGGTAAAAAGAAGGGGGGAAAGGATACAGTTCACAGACAGTAGACTTACATTTACCTTTAAAGAAAGAGAAACTCATTATCTGTAGACAAGATGAAACACTATAGAATTCCTTATAGGTGTGGTACAGGCTATTAATTCCATCTTTATATGTGGTAAGATCAAGGAACAATTACATTCAAGTTCAACAGGTTCTCCACAGATATTCTAAATACAATGTTGTAACCCATTCACTACTGTATCATTCAGATACAGGGACATAAAAATCAGATCAGTATTGAAGAGGCCAAATTTCAAAGAGATAATCATGTTACATTTCTGAGGTGGGGTAATAATGTCAAGTAAGTGAAAAAGAATGCCAAGTTAAACTTATTTATATTTTTAATAATCTGAATTACGGTGCTGGAGAAGAGTCTTGAACATACAATGGACCTCCAAGAGAACAAACAGGTCTATATTAGAGTGAGTGAAACCAAGTTTCTCTTTGGAGGCTAGGATTGTGAAGCTCTAGCTCACAAACTTTGGGCACATGGCCAGGAGGGACCAGTCCTTAGAGAAGGACATCATGATCCTGTGGAGGGACAGTGTGGGAAAGGAAGACTCAGGATGGGGTGGACTGACACAGTAACGAGGGTAAGGGGGGTAGCTGTGTTGGAGTCAGTGAGACTGGCTCAGGATAGGGCAGGCTTCAGAGCTGTTGTACATAGGGTTAGTATGAGTTGCTGGTGATTTGATGTCACCTAACAACAATAATTGAGGGAGGAGTAGGGACCAGATCAGTAAATTTCTATCTACTATTACTGCATTAGGGAGCTCTGGTGGCCTAGTGGCAAGAAGCGGTGCTTCAATCCCAAAGGCACGTGGTTGGAGGCCACCAGATGTTCCATAGGAAAAGGAAGGGCAGTCTCCTCCTGTGTGATAACTTGCCTCTAAAAACCCACCAGAAGGTCAGCTATGGGTCGGTTCTGACACAATACTACACAACAACAATTATTGCATTATCTATCTATCTATCTATCATCTATCTATCTATCTATCTATCTATCTATCTATCTATCTATCTATCTATCATCTCTCTTTATACATAAACATCTCACATACACTGTGTTTATGACTTTCTTCCTTCTAAGAAGCACTGTTTTTCTGCTATAATTTCCCTATTGGGTTGTCATGGTCAGTTCTTAATTTCCTGAAGATCAACAGACTGTAGCCTAGCTGCAGTCTTGAGGTAAGGTGTTTAGTGTTTCATATTGTTTTAATTTACTTATTTCTATTGCCTTCAGGAAGTGAACTCTGAATGCAATTTAAAGTGTAAATTATCTTTCGGAATTGTTTGTATAAAGGTATTTTTAAGATATATTCCAGGCTCAACTGAAAAGAACAAAAGACAATTTGTACTTTTTCTGAGAAATTTATAATGTCCATGGTCTCATATATTCTTCCTGGGAATCCTGCACGTCCTAATCAGTATCTGCATTTTATTGATGACAGGTAACAGAGACAGAACAAAGACAAGTGACTTGCTGAAGGTCAAAAGGAATAGGAGTTGAATTTAATCCTATTCAATCCCAGAAACTATGATCATATCACACAGCATATATGGCCTCCAAAGTCCTCCAACTGGCACAGAATTTAAGTCATCAGGCTTAAAATATATATATTTATAGATATAGAAAAAATTGGCAGCATCAGGATGGATGGTGAAGAGATTGAGATTGAGATTGTTCACAGCTTTAGCTTCCTTGGCTCCAGAGTCAACACTCTTGGCACCAGCAGTCAGGAAATTAAAAGACGTATTGCAATGGGAAGATCTGCTGTTAGTGACCTCTCCAAAGCACTGAAGAACAATGGTGTCTCTTTGGAGACTAAGGTGCGTTTGATACAGGCTATGGTCTTTGCAATCACTTGTTATGCATCAGAGAGTTGAACAATGACTAGGGAGGATAGAAGCAGAATTGATGCCTTTGAGCTGTGGTGCTGGAGAAGAGTATTGAATGTACCATGGACTGCTAAGAAATAAACAGATTCACCCTGGAGAGGGTTAAACTGGGTTGCTCCTTGGAGGCAAGGATTCTGAGGCTTCGTCAGACATACTTTGAACATGCTGTAAGGAGGAAGAGGTCCTTGGAGAGGGACATGATGCTTGTGAGGGTGGAGAGACAGCACAGGAGGGGAAGACCCTCTATGAGGTGGATTGATTCATTGACTGGGGTCATCGGGGTAGGTGTGTCGGAGACAGTGTGATTGGCACAGGACAGGGTCTCCATGAGTCGCAAGCAACTCAATGGCACATAACAACAACAAATATCACAGTAATTAGGAAGACATTATCTTAAGATAATTTCCTTATGAATATTCAAAATTTATGATAAAAATTCATCTGTAATTAACGAGGACGAAAATCTGACAAGGACATATTATAGTGTCTCTTGATAATCATCACCATATTTATCTAAGTCTCAAATTAACACATAATCTGACAAAAAGAAAAAGGATGTTGTGAATAACAAGTTAGCATCTTGAAAGTAGAACTGCTTTAAGAAAGTCTGGGATAATAGTTACAATATTTATAGTAACAATCATGACACATTTTAAGGCTTATGCTTTGGAAGAGGAAAGTTCAATTTCTGTCTTACAAAAAACTGCTTGCAAACAATTAGATTCTCATGACACTGAATAATAAAACTGATTATCCTCTCAACTTTTCAGAATTATTTTAAGAAGAGAACATAGGAAACAATTCTCGATGATTTTACCTAAAATGCAAGTTGGTCTTGAAATAAAACCTTAAAAAAAAAAAACCCAAAAAACAAAACACCTAAAAAATCTCAACTCTCTAATATGTCTATGCTAATTTACAAAGGTAGTAACAGCAATTTAACCATAGTAATTAAAAGGCTACCAGTGACATAAGAATCCTATGTATCTAGACGTCCACTATATAGCTGGAAGCCCTCTGTACGGCTTGAGGGAGAGAGAGTGCTTTTGGTTGTAACATTTCATTTGTGAAAGTCTTTTCAAACCTCTCCCATGATGGACTATGTTTATTTTATTACTGAAATTCCCAGAAAGAGGGTAGGACTGGAGCTGTGATGGCTTAGGTGTAAGGAACTGAGCAGCCTATGCAAAGGTATATGGTTCAAATTAATCAGCTGCTCTGTGAGGAAAAGGTGGGCACTCTTTCATGTAATATCCTGTCTCAGAAAACCTGATGTCAGCTATGGGTCAGTTCTGCTTGGATGGTACACAACAACAATAACATATGAAATTAAACAATCTAATTGGTCCAAATATATCTTGAAGAAAGTGCAACCAGGTTACTCCTTAGACACAAGCAAGGACGGTGAAAGTTTGTCCCACATACTTTGGACATGTTAGGATGGGCTAGTCCTTTGAAAGGGACATCATGCAAAGGAGAGGAAGACCCTCAATAAGATGGATTGACACAATGACTATAACAATAGGCCCAAATATATCAGTGATGATGAGGATGGCACCGGATTAAGGCAAAGTTCAGATCTGTTGTTCACAGGGTCCTTAGGAGTCATACTGGATTTGATGGCATCTAACAATAAGATAGTCGTAACTATCAAGTATTACTGCTGCTGGGCTACAGTGAATCACTGAAAGGGGCTGTTTATATCTTACAGCCCTGAACCCAATCATCCACTCTCTATACGTTATTTTCATGATGTCCCAAAGATCAATTCATAGCCACAGCTGTAAATTTCTACCTCATTATACATACAAAGCTTTCCACAATGAATCTTGTGGACAAATGCAAGCAGCTTGCAAAAGTTACTGAATGCTTTTGGAACACACACTGATT